GCCGCGCCGGGCCGGGCCGGGCCGTGGGGGCCGGCGCTCACCCTGCTCCCTCCCCCCCGCAGCCTCTTCGCCATCGGGTCGCAGCTGTCCCCGGAGCCAGGCAGCTCTGGCATCGAAATGTTGGAGACGGACACGTTCAAGCTGCACTGCTTCCAGACTCTCACAGGTAGGCAGGGGGGCTGCCGCGTTCCCCCTGCGCGCCCACCCATACGGCGGGGCTGGAGGGGCCTCCCTTGAAGGCAAGATGTTTGGACCCTGCAGAGGGCAAAGCCAGCCCCAGCTGCTCTTCGCCAGGCAGGGCCGTGTGGCCAACCTTGCCCGGGCATAGAGCACCCGGCGCCGCCTCACGCCACTTATTTGTTTCTTCATGTAAGTCACGCAACGCGGCTTGTCCACACCAGTCCTCCGGCACTTCCTCCAAAAGAGGCTTTTTAATCGCGTCGTAAAATGTGTCTCCTTGCAGTCTTAATGGTTGTTTTGTCGTGGCTCCAGGGATCAAGTTTGTGGTTCTTGCTGATCCCCGGCAGGCCGGGATAGACTCCCTGCTGCGCAAGATCTATGAGATTTATTCGGACTTTGCTCTGAAAAACCCCTTCTACTCACTGGAGATGCCGATCAGGTAGGAAGAAGGTGAAACATGCGTCCTAAAGGAGGTTGCATTTGCTCAGCTCTTCCTTTTGAGAGCATGACACAAACACCAAGGCCAGGACACAGAAAAGCTAGGACTAACTTTACCTGGGTGGGGAGGAGGGAACCCCTGAGATCTCTTTGAAGAGTAGTCAGGGTCAGTACTGAAGAGATGCTTCCCCTGTCCTATGACTGGTGCAAGGAGTTGATAATACAAGCATGGTGCTTGTTCCTCAGGCCAGGAGGAGTTGTGTGCAGCCAGGCACAAGCCTAACACAAGTTAGTGCAGTGCATGTCCCATAAGCATCCGGTTCAGTGCTGCCAACTTCTTAATAAGGCGGCTTCCCCCTTGTTCTCCTAGGTTGCTTGCCTGGGGGAGGTTAGGACCTTCTTGCAGTGCTGCTGTATTAGTGATGGGGGCTTCTCTGCATGTAAAGCCCCCTCCAAGGGGGCAGTCAGACCTTGACCATCTGAGCCACACTCACCTCAGAGTTAATTGCAGGGTGTAGAAAATAAGCCTGTGTTCTTGCGCGTAGCTGCTGTTTTGATAGGGGTGTGTGTGTTTCTAGGTTGTAAATGGTGGTGTGAGCCTATTCTGATTCCTGTGAACATTTTAGGTGCGAACTGTTTGATCAAAACTTGAAACTTGCCTTGGAGGTAGCAGAAAAAGCTGGACCATTTGGACCTGGACCATAGGCTATTTCCTTTGTCAGTCACCAGCCGCACCCCCCTTCGCTGAATCACCGTGGGTTTACCTTCACCAGAAAACCTTTCCTGACTCTTGCACCTGGCTGCAACAGCAAGGAAACAGATCTAGAGCGTTCGCGTAATGCTGTGTCATTTTTAGGGATGCTACTTAGTTCCATGTGTGTGGGATTAACCTGGCTTTAAAGCACGGTCCGTTGTTATCAGATGCGTCTATTCTGTGATCACAGTCCTGACATCACTGTAGGGATAATGGAAGATGACACACAACTTGACAACACTACCCCAGCTGAATGCTTCCTGTTACCCCAAATGTGTACATACTGGTCTTTCTGTACAGTTCTAATTTAATAATAAACTTTCCGTACCCAGATGTGAATGGATGCTGAGTTCTTGGTCTAGATCTTCTCTTCAGCACGTGTACTAGTATCTGCCATTGCGGTAGGGGGAGAGAGGGCTTCCTCTGTTCCTTTGAAGGGAACACATACAACAGTACTGTGCTTCTGCACCATCGTTAGGAAAGGGGGTCTTCCTCACCATTTGCTAAGTGACAGGTAGGGAAAGTTGACAAGAAGGGGTTCTTGATATAAATGGTTGCCCAAGTGCTCCTCTTGGGAGCACTTCCTGAATAGGAAGAGGCACC